CTCTTTAGGGGATGTTATTGTAATCTTACAATCACTGGGAAAGTTTTAGAATGTCATGTTTCTACCCAGCAGCAGACATAGAATTCACATCTCAAACTTTTGCTGGAGGAAGTAGCTTACCTTTAATTGGGCCTCCACCAAACCTTTTCACTTGCCTATTATATTTAAATCTTTTTTAATTGAACTAATGTTTTCATTATTTCCTTGAGAGTTTTGTATGCTTTGGTCATATTTACCCACTGTTCCTCCCAGATCCATTCTTTCCCTACTTGCCTAATTTCTTGTCCTAATTTTATTTAAATCTTATCAAGTCTGATTTATGCTGGCCATATATTTCTGGATGTATGGTTTACATAGCAGTGGATATAGATTTAGAAAAAAGTGGACTCTCCCTTTTCCAGTTGCTCTCCATTGCCAGTAGTTCCTTGGCTAGGAGTGGAAGTTTGTGTCTACCTCCTTAAGATTTAGTTTGGCTTGTGTCTCCATTGGTCATGTTCATGCTGTCATAACCACTGTGAATTAGTGTGTGCAGTTGTGCTGCTATCATCAGAAGACAATGTTTTCTTATAGTCATCTTTTGTATCTTTTCTGTTATGACATTTCCACCACCTATTTCAAGAGAATACCTGAGATTAGGATATAGATGATGGTGATCCAGATAGAATCCTACCAGTGATGAATGAATAAGTGTTTTCCCTTTCTATACATCAATGCCAGAATTTGTATTTCTTGCTTTTTTATCATAGCCATTCTGACTGGCGTAAGATGAAATCTCAAAGGAGTTAATTGAATTTCCCTGATGCCTAAGGATGCTGAACACACACACACACACACACACACACACACACACTCGTGCACGCGTGTGTGTGTGTGTGTATCAGCCATTTGTATTTTATCTTTTGAGAACTCTCTGATTCTCTGATTAGATCCATGCCCTATTTTTAATTGAATGTTTATTCATTTTTAATTTTTTGAGTTCTTTGTACATTCAAAAAACTAACTTTTACAGATATATAGCTGACACAGATCTTCCCCTGTTTTGTGGACTGCCTCATCAAGTTGAATAATGATGTCTTTTACTATCCACAGTCTTTTTAGTTTTATTGGATCTCACCTATTAATTTTTGTTCTTAATGCCTATGCTACCAGTGACTTGTTCAGAAATCATTTCCTGTGCCAGTGATTTCCAGTGTCTTCCATACTTTCTCCTCCATCATATTTAGTCTATTGGATCTTCAGTTGAAATCCTTGATTCATTTGTAGTTGAGCTTTTTACAGGGTTTAGAGATAAAGATCAGGTTTCCTTCAATTGTGATCAGCAACTTCAATTAAAATGTTTAATAGACATGAAGAGAATGTATGTCCTTGTCTTGTTTCTGATTTGAGTAGGAATATTTTGTGGTTTTCTCCATTTATGTTGAGATATCCCCCCTGTATTCCTGTTTTCACCAGAACATTTATCATGAGTGACTATTTTCTCATGGAGGGTGTCTTAAGATGTTATTGCTGTGAACTGACACCACGACCTTGATACTGGCATCTCCAGTACACTTGGGTCTTTTGCTAGAACTACGCTTCACCAATAGACTCTCATAGGCTCTCTTTGTGGTGCCAAGTCTCAGCTTCTTTGAATGACCCTTGCACTTCTGGCCATCAACTGCAACTGAGGCTACACCTTCATCAATGTCCTTCCCTCACAGTGCCAAGCCTCAGCTGTTCTCCATAACCTCTTCTTATCTTTAAAACCAATACCACATGGGTGATTCTGACAAATTACCAAGTCCAGCTGTAGCATGAGGTACAACCTTGGATATCTCTGGAACACAGCTTCTTTGTGCTCCTAGAAAACACTTCCCATAAAATCTCACCTCAGTGATGCTGATCTTTTCTTAATTGATACTGATTTCTTAGCTCCAGTTAAAAAGCATCAATTGTACCAGTAGTCCCTTCTATTTTTGACTCTAAACCCAGAGCCACATGGCCACAGCTGCCAAGTTTTGCTTGCAGGAGCTGGAACGTGGCCCCATTGTTCTCTTAATACCAGCTCTCTGTTTTCCAACTCCTGCACTGCCTAAGTTTGGCTGTCCTAGAACTCTGTAGACTGACCCTTGAACTCAGAGATCTGCATGGTTCAGTCTGCTAAATGATGGAATCAAAGGTTTGTACCAGGTCTGGAATTACACTTTTCTCTACTTGGAAATTTCTCTATACCAGGCTATCCTTGAACTCATAAATATGCTTGCAACTGTCTCCTGGAATTAAAGGTACTACCATGCTTGGACCTAAGCTTAGCTGGGTGGGATCTTGCCTCAAAGTCACCACTGCCTTAATCTGTTTATCTCCCTGAACATAGGATTTCACTTCTTGTTGCCCCTTTATCACTTGAACCATACATTCCATCTGCATTGATCCTTGAGCTTTAGGTTATAGAGTTTTGCTATAGATGTATCCATGGGATTGGGTTCCCAACTCTGCATTTAGATTGGTCATAATTTTCATAATGGTCTCCAGCTGTTTCAAAGAGAAATTTTCTTCTGAGGGGTGAATTTATATATTAATTTACATATAAAGTTTTGGTGGTCAGTTCTGAAAACCTGCATACAAGTAATACTATACTAACTGAGCAGATTAGATAGATAGATAGATAGATAGATAGATAGATAGATAGATAGATAGACATATAGATAGATAGATGATATAGATAAAGATATAGATATAGATGATATAGATATAGATGATATAGATATAGATGCATGCATATATGAATATAGGCATAAACATATATGTCTGTAATAATAATTAGTGAAAAGAGCTCATGAATTTAAAAGAGAACAGGGAGAAATACATGGAATGGTTTGAAGTGAAAAACAGAAAAGGGAAAATGACGAACTTATAATATCAAAAAAAATAAAAAAAATACTTTTAAAAACTACCTTAATTGTACACCAAAAGTTCTTAAACAAAAAGTAGTAAATCTCTTTGAAACACTAATTTTTCTCATAGTCTTATACATTGTACTATGATATAGGAATGAGAAAACACTTGTGTAGTATAGGGCTAAAGACCTAAGCCTTAAAGTATTATTTAGTACTAAATGTAGACTCTTAACACTGTGAAATCAGAAGACATCTGTACAAGCTACACTGAGAATGAGTCAAAAGGGAAGACCAGGATGGGGATAAATTGCTGCCATTGCTGATTTGGGCTTGAGGGGGCACCTTTTATCCTACACAGACACCATCCATGTACATGTACACAGCATGAGCCTACAAAGTTATTATATCCACTGCAGCAAGACATCAGCTTTTTTCATGTTTTTAAAAATTACTTTGGCCTAATTTTTGTGGACTTTTTCCATGAGTTATTGTTCCTTAAGTATTGTGATTCCTTTCAACTAGTACTTTGGTAAGTTTGTCACGTATGGTGTAGGCTTAACAAATGGTCAGGTGATACGTGGAAACTACCTTTCCTTATGTGTTTCTTTCCCTTTGATTTGTAACCTATGATAGAAATAAAAACACCAGTTTATTTTGTGAATGTAGAAAACATATAAAGTATTTTAATATTATTGCAACTCGTTTTTCATCTGATTTGAACCCTTTTGTTTTGCTTGTTTAGTCAAAGAGGTGATTTTGTGTGGTCTCACAGTTGAAAGGCAATGGAATCAAACCTTATGAATTCAGTTTCTACATGCTAAATAGGTAGATACAGAGTACAGTGTCTCCCTGCTTTTTCTTCTCAGTGAAATTGTCTAGTAGGTGAAACCTTTTCCTTTTTAGAAGGTCTGATATCTATGCAGAAACAGCCTGAGTACCAGAGGACACAGACCAAATGCAAACCGAACGACAGAGACATTGAGTCTGTTGCTAATATTTTATTAAGCTGGAATGCAAATAATTATATAATAATTATGTTTACTAGACCACAGATTTCTATTTCTCTAGTGTCTATGAGAACAATGCCTATTACCTTTGTATAGTTCAAAAACCATACTTTCTATTCTTTTCAAATGAAGGATGTGTTTCCTAATGTGTACCAATATCGCTCCTTTGCTTGCAGAGATGTATTTCCTTTAGTTACTGTGAAATAGCACTTCCACATTTCTTTTCTCTGTGGCAGAATGGGTAAATATTTTCTGACCTATGACCTCACTAGAAAATATAATGCCTCTGTCATTTTTATTACGCTTTTTGCTGCATTGTGGGCACATGCAGTAAATCTGAGGCTTATAGCAGAGTTGGAATTATTATTTGTCACATCTAAACTAATTGGGTTGAGTAGTTCTTACATGGACTGTTCCACTCCACATGGAAATGGTAGGTCATTTATCTTAAATGAATGAATTGTACTACTTAAACCACACTGCTATAATAATCCTCCAAAACCATACTTAAAGAACAGACAGATTGTTCCCATAGATGCTACAGATTTCATTTGTTTTGCATACAAATACCATTTATCTTGTATGTTAAGTAACACTTATTATGTTGTGTATTACACTTTGATAGATTTTTCAAATGATTTCAACTTTTCTTTAAGCAAGTATATTTGTAAATTGTGAGAGAACATTGTGGAATTATGTGTGCCTGTAAAACCTTGATGGATGAATGCTATCTAGCCATGTATTTTAAATGTCTAACTATAATCTTTCTGATGTGAATCATAGTGTCTACCAAATAACAAATGTGTTTTCCCCAAGCATTCTAAAATTTCAAATATCTCCATCCCTATTTTATTCAGCAGCGATCTGCAACTTATTTTTTTCCCAGAAAATTGAATCTGTTACTGCTTAATATTTCTACCAGTTTTTTTTTAAATGTGGTTTATATTGGCATCAGAGCAGTAATTTACATATTTGGGGATAATAAGAAGGCATGCCAGAAAAAAGATCAACATAAAATGAAATGTAGAAAAGCTGTTTTCCTTCAACAGCAACTCAAAAAGCAGCTAAGAGAAGAGTTGATGAGCATCTGGCCTGAATGTGTCACTTCTTTCTTTAGGTAAAGTGTGACCAGTATTGGCCCAGCAGAGGCACAGAAACTCATGGCCTGGTCCAGGTGACGCTGCTGGATACTGTGGAGCTTGCCACATACTGTGTCCGGACATTTGCACTTTATAAGGTTTGCTCTTTGTCTTCTTTCTCTTACCCTGTTTTCCCTATTATTTAAAGAAACTAAATCCCTCAAGCCTTTTTACTTAAATTTTGGTCCCACTGGCAACAAAGGAGAGTGAGATCATTCTTGAATTTATCATCCAGCTCCGTTTCTTATGGACTGGTGTTTTATCAGTAACTATGAAACAAATCTGTGTTCTGAAGAAAGATTCCCCAAAATGGAAGAACTAATGCTTTCTGTAAATAGACAAGAGCACTCCAGATGGTTGAAGCCAGATGGCAGAGTGTTTCTCATGTGACAAGCTTACCTGCCTGAGCAAATACTGATCATTTAGGGTTAGCTCAGGGCTTGGTCTGCAGGTATTGTGTGTTCAAAGGCTATACCCTAAAAGGAAAGACTTGAGATAGCATAGTTTAGTGCTACTCATGATTAGCTGCTAAGGTTAGAAAGCAGCATCTGAGCAAATGTTCCTGTGTCACAGAATGGTTCGAGTGAGAAGAGAGAAGTAAGACAGTTCCAGTTCACCGCCTGGCCTGATCATGGTGTTCCAGAGCACCCCACACCTTTCCTAGCTTTCTTACGAAGAGTCAAAACCTGCAATCCTCCTGATGCAGGGCCAATGGTTGTACACTGCAGGTAAGGACCATTGAGAACATTTGGCTTATTTTCAGCCAGAAGGACTGAGGGAAGAAAGAAGCATAAATTACTCTACATGGAATGTTCCTCCTTGCAGATTCTTGATTCTGGGAGATGGTAAACACATTCATTCAAATGGCTCTTGCTAACTGAGTCCTATACTGAGATCAGTAGAAAGACTGGATAAAAAGGATATATATGGATATGGATATGGATATGGATATAGTATGATTCCCCATTACCACCCCACCCCACACACTGCCCATACACTGCCATCTCTTTGATGCAAAAATAAATAAATAGATAAATACAAAGTTAAGTGTATGAGGATAAACAAAACAGAAACAATTACATTTTAACCTTATAACAAGGGTTAAATTTTATCTTTTTAATGGAAAAATGTTCTTTCAAAATATTTTTAATGAGTTTTTCAGTGGGCTCTTGTGCGCTGAATTAGTATAACATTTTTACTCTGCAGGCAAAGTGGGGAAGACCACAATGCTGTGGTCACTTGAGCTTTCAATGGAAGATGTGTTAATGTAAAGACAGATGCATTGTATCTATAATTAGTATCAGTTAGCATACAAGAAATGCACAATCTTGGTCTTGTAAATGAGTTTATAAAAGACATGGAACTTGTAACAAGTTTTATTATGTACATCAAAATGAGGAATTTTTCTTGAAATGTAAAACATACACCTTTCGTCAACTTTGACTGCCATCCTCTATATCATCACACTGTCTGTATATGTTAATGTTAATACATTTTAACACTCAGGACATCTCTTCAGGATACCTGATTTCCTCTCAAATGTCCCTCCTACTAACAAAGTGTTCAAGATGCCTACTTAGATTCTGTACATTCTCTATCACTGGGCATATTCTGTTCTGTGACCCTGAATGAATATGCTCATGTAATTTCACAAAGGCTCCTTATAATATGAGTAATTCAGTATGTCTTCTTGAACAAGGGAAGAAAATTAAAGTGTGGAAGTTTATAATAGAAAGACAAGAAAAATACACTATGAACCTACTTATATCATAAATTAATAGCATAATTTAGGTTACATATTATAGGGTAATGTAATAGACCCTCAAAATGAGACCATTGGCAGACAATGCAGAATGAAAACTATATAACTACTGACCTGCCTGTCTCCCCAACAAAAGTAGCTGCTAAACAATAGCCTGGGGAGTTCCTGAATGGGATACAATGGCACCTGATAGAAGCCAGTAATAGAACTAACTTGTGTTAGTGACTGACACCTTATAATTTTGAAACTTTTTCATGCATTACTTTTACTGATATTCCAATTTTAATAGAGAAGCTGCACTATTTGAGAGGAGCACTAATAGCTAAATGTAATGCTTCATTCATCCCATGTCTCGTTACCTGGTTCTAGCTCCTTCACACATAGGAGGAGGGTCTCTAAGGACTGGATATCAGTTGACATTCTCTACGTGATTATAAAGCATCAAATCATTTTTATTGTTTGAGCGAGTGGTTTTGTGTAGTGAAAGCCAAGTCTTAGTTTCTTGCTTGTTAATTTCAGAGAATATCCTGCGCTTTGCAATATAAACCATTTTAAAAGCCTCAAACAGCTAATGTAGCTGGTTACATGGGTGCCCAGTTGGCACAAGCTAAACTTGATTATAAAGATCACGTGGGAAGTACACAAGACATTTTCAGATGGAGAAGCAGGAAATCAGCCTCAAAAGAGAAATGCTGCTTTTATAGGCCTTGTGCCAGTAAGAAGCACACCACACACACACACACATAGCACTCACATAAAGAGAGAGAGGGGGAAAGAATTATAGACGTAAAATAATGACAAATTGGGGGAAAGTAATTTGGAAGTTTCTATTGAACAATCATATTGTGATTTATTATATTAAAATACCATCCTGGGGCTGGCAAGCTGGTTCTGTGGGGAGACACACATGCTATCCAAGTTGAGTTTAATCCCAAGAATCCACATAAATGTAGAAGAAAAGAACTAGACTTCAAGTTTATCTTCTTAGGTCCACCTGCCCATTATGGCTTATGCATGCCCTTCTTCAAAATATTCATAAATGCTTTGTTTAGGGGAATACTACATTTTCCCCCTAAATATGTGCTGCCATTTCTTTAAGTTAATAATATCAGAAAATGGGTGGCAAAGTGTTCATGGGTGAGTAATAACAGAGCAATCAGAAATGGTACATTTGTATGAAGGTGCCATGAACCCCAAGTTAACTCCTTTAAATAAAAATTCTCTTTTTAGTTAGATTGATACCCAAGAAAGTTATTTTGAACCCGTCTGAAAGCAGTAAACACTATACAGAAAGACACAGTTATGAAGTCACCGAGTGAAACTGTTCACCATGATCATGTAACAATCACAAAGTATTCTTGAATGTCTAAGTTTATCTTATGATATACTCAGACATGTTTTTCTTTATAGAGAAGAAACAGTGATAACCCAGACTATCTCCAACAAACATACCAAGAACCAGGGAGAATGGGGAAAAGCCAAAATATTCACCTTCACCAGAGGTTCTATTAGTATGGGTGGGCTGGAAATAAGGGGAAAAAGCAACCAAGTAAAGAGTTTTACAAATATTGCATATAAAATACCCCGTGACACAAAGATGCTACTAGTGCTGTAAAAATTTGTCTCATATGTTTAAAACTACCCATTCTAGGCTCCATTCTAATTCCTAATGTCCCATTCAAACTTTTCCTCTGGGCAGAGACCATATTTTTGCCAAATGTGATAGTTTTGTAATGATTATAATCTGAAAGAAGAGACCAGGATTTTCCATAAACCTGGAAATTTTATTTGCATTTGTAAAAAATACTATTATCTCTAGATAAGAAGGTGGATAGAATATACAAATTATATGGGTTTATATCCTCTCAAACATTTTAAGGTGATGGGAAATATTGTACCATGTGGAATTTGGGATCCCAGACATTGTTCATCACATACAAACTATTCTGCATAAAACTCACATGTTTAAACAAATCAAGCAACAGGGTGATGCAAAGCAAAATGTTGAGTCCTCCATATTGATTGTACAATTTTATAAGAGATTATAATTGTGCCAATGACAGCATTAAAAGGAATTGTTTCCTCTCTTCCTCTTCTGCCAATCCCTGCACCCCCTGACACATACAAAGTATAAAAGTCAAAGTGGAGAAAGAATTTGGAGTGAAGTAGTTCTCTAGCTGCCCGGTAAAGTATAAATTCTGTTAGGAAACCACTAAAGACATAAAGCCATGAGGCCCATGGTGTAAGAAGCTGACTTCACAGTTGTGCATCAGGCCTGTGCCATTACTGTCCCTGCAATGATGACTAAAATTGCCATTTCCACTCCGTGTGCAAGTAGATCAAAGGGCTCACTTTTATGTAGGAATACAGTTATCTAAAGATTATCTTCCCACTATTTATTTGATCTGACAGGTTGATATTATCACTATCCTTGCTTTGGAGTGGGGGTGTCAGGGAGAAAATTGAGAATAGGAAAGTTAAAAGATTTGCTGATACAGTCTGCCCAACTGGAAGCAAAGTCTGAAAGAGAATCCATGTTTTCTTCTTTTAAGTTTTCTGTTCTCTTCTCTCTGGGCACCTTTAAGGGTTTTGTGTTTGGCAATAGTAGTTCCTTCCAAGTATTGTTTATATATTAAATAAGAGACTACATGTAAATGTATAAATTATTTAGATACTTGCCACATATAAACAAGTAAGTCAGACATGGTGATGCAGTCACAAAGCAGAGGCAGGTAGATCTTTGGACTTTGAGGCCAGCCTAGATTTTCTAGCAAGTTCTAGGTCAGCCAGGGTTACACAATCTTAAAAAAAAAAAAAAAGCAACAAAAATGTAACTAAATGTTTGCAGTTACTGATGTTTTAGAATTATTTTATCCTAGTACTATAGAATAGTATCTACTATTAATAGTGTTTATTTTCAGAAAAGTAGGCTAGAGTTCTAAGCACTGTGTGATTGGAAACTGTATTTGAAAATATACATCCACCTTGATTGGGAAACACATAATGCTTTACAGATATAATAATGATTGTATTCTGCTTTAAATTTCACCCAATAGAAATAAGACAAGGGATCCCAACTCCAATACCGTTGACACATTAGATCACATGGCTGTTGTTAAAGCCTTTCTATACAGGTCAGGCATTCAGCAAATCCTTTGCCTTTCCCCACTAGGTGAGGATAGTACACCTCTCCCATTTTGACTGTTAAAATTTTCCTCCAATATTGCCAAATGTCCTCTGGCAGGTAAAATCACCTCTAGCTGAGAGGCCACTATGATATTTATGGTAATGAATATATTCCAAAACCTTTCACTTTTTAAAAAATTTCCTTGACAGGCATCCTCCTTCTACATACTTGAAGAAGTCATTATGAAATCTGCTTTAATAAATGATTTCAGAGCATACTCAGAAGAAGACTCATTACTTGACTCATCAACAGCACTCTCTACCACACAAAAAAAAAATCCTTGGCACAGGAAAAAAAATCAACCCTTAAGGACAAAGATGTCCCACCATCAGTGAATTCAAAGGAACAGGCCACCAGCTCTTTACTGCCAAGAAAGAGTTCCAGAAATATTTTTGCACCATGGCAGAATTGCTGCAATAAATCTTCATCCCCCCAAGGTGGCTTCCGTTAAGGGCCATGTTCGTTGTAGGTGATAAATGCTAGTCTGTTTTGCCAGGACACTAGTCGCACTGCTTTGTGTTCATGCTTTTTATGACAGCCAGCATTTTGGTAGTTCAAAACAACAAGTCCCAGGAGTATGGTATGTCGGGCATGGCTTAGAGACTTTCCCTTTTTCACTCTTAAGAGGAAGCCAATGATAACAGACATGATGAATGGAAGGAAAGATAATCATATTGTCAAATCCTACCCTAATCTCTGAGGCTGTTTAAATCTCTCACCTCTGATCTGGAGAGAATATATTTCTGGACAGTCCACTATTTTCAAATGACAGAATTTTT